ATTTTATTAATTTCATAGTGACAATATAACATACTCGGACACCACGAGATTTGGAAATCGATCGCGTGAAAATCGTTTGTCTGCTCCTACTCCATACAGACCAAAGGAATATATCGTCTCCACTAGACCTCGTCCTAATTCTCAAATAATCCTTCCGACTTCAATGCAACATTATGGTTCATTTGCAATGCCTAATTCTGATCAAGAATTTCGCATGTTGGCTAGAATATTAAATTGGCCTACTCAACCAGGTCAAAGTCCTGTTAATCAAATATCTGGTCAAGTCGGTAATCCTTTAACTAAGGATAATATGGTAGACGATGGTGAAATAATATTTGATACATCATCAATTGACCAAGAGGGAGATATTCAACAATCTAAAGGGCAACATCCTCATAAATCTCAATCAACATTTTATATACCTCAAGAACGCTTTTCTGTAGCTGCTGCAATGCGTCAGATGACTAAACCTTTACAAGCGCCAGAGGTACCTCCACTCATTTCAGCTAATTATGGTAAAGAAATTTTCGATCAAATAAAGTCGGATGATGATCCTAGACTTATAGTTTGGTCAATATCCAGAGCTCAGGAAATAAAACATGGTTCTACATTATCACTTTCTACTAATTCTTCAAGACGATGGAGTTTTCATGGTCAACAAAAGAAACTTTCAAAGATAGATAATTCAATTACATCATCATCATCATCATCAGGAAAGATCATAATGGCTGCCACAATTGAAAAATTAATCGAGAAATTGACAAGTGAAATTGGTATATATATATATATTATTATTATTATTATTATTATTATTATTATTATTCATTTTAAATTGTTTATATATATTTATAAAAAAAAAAAATTATTATCATGATAGATTACACTTTCTTGACGGATTTTTTCTTAACCTATCGAAAATTTATAACTCCAATAAAGTTATGTAAATTATTGATCCTAAGATTTGATTGGGCACTTGATGGAGATGATGAAAAACGAAGGCTTGTAAGAGTCAGGTAATGAATTATATTTTATACAAAAAAAAAAAATATAAAATAAATAAATAAAATTGATGAATTTTTTAATTTAATTACGTTAAACTTTCATTGTTATATAATAGGACTTTTGTAACTATACGTCACTGGATTTTAAATTATTTTGCTTATGATTTTATTCCATGTCGTACTCTAAGAACTACATTGACTAAATATCTAAATAAACTTCCTTCACATCGATTGGTGAAAAATTCTCCACGTGATCAAAGAATAGTACAAGGATTAAAAAGGGTTATAAGGAGGTTAAAGAGAATATATTATAGAAAGAGTGCCATAGATTATATGGATAAAGGGGGTGATATGTCTAGTATTGGTTCAAAAAAATTGGGTAAAAAGAACAATCAAGGTCTTAATATAATAATTGATAGTGGTGGTGGTGTAGGTACATCTTTAATTGAAGAACCGACTATATCATATAATAGTAGTAATTATAATACTGTAAAAGAAAAACAATTAAATACAATTGTTAGTCTATTACGACATCAATCATCATCATCATCTCTAGATTCAACAATTACTCCTGGAACAACAGATTCTGAATCGGATGTAATAGACTCTTATACTCCTAATATTAAAGAAACTACTCAAAATATTATATATTCTAGTAGTAGTAATTCTCATACTAGTGATGAAGATTTATCTTCTAAAGCAACACATGAATTTTATGATCAAAAATGGTCAAAATATTTACCAACTCATTCTAATGAATTAAGGGATGATAATAATATTTATGAAGAAGATGATGATGGAGCTGGTGTTAGTAATAAAAGAGTTCCACGAATGTCTTTACCAGAACGTTTAACAATTCCAATAGATCAATTAAAACAATCAGAAAGAAAAACAGATA